TGTAGTGTTGCTATCCTGTGTAGAAGTTAAGCAGTTACCACTGGTTACTGTGTTAGCAACTGTGTTCTTCCTGAGGGGTTTCAAAGTGGGTATCAAGAGAAAATATTTGAAATAGAGACTCGTTGCATTGTAGGTGGGAAGAGGGCACTGAACGTGTTAACATCTTCCCAACTCACTGCCAACTCTACTCTCAGTTCAGCCTCCCACTTGATTTTTGAAACTTGAACTCTTAATTAAATCAAAACATGAAAACTTAAATGAATGCTGAGAGCAACTGTATACCAAAACCACAATGAAACACGACACAGACTTTAGGAGACCTGATTTTCAGCAGTGACTAGGCTAGAGGCCATATGCTGCTGAGCCATCTGGTCTTCCCTCAACTTTACATGCCAATTTGTAGAACCAGACGGTCTTATATCTTTACATACCAATTTGTAAAACCAGACTGTCTCATATCCTTGCACTTAAGCAGGTGAAGCCAAGGGTACACACTGGGTGGATACTGACTTTCCCATTCTCACTTTTTCCTGGGCTTGCCTGGAAGACAACTGAGCACAGCAGAATCTTTAGAGTCAAGAGCTTTAGGTTAGGGATACAATGCTGGAATTATTAATAACACCTTCAGTCAGCTTTTTGATGTGGAGATGCTTGCAGGGCAAAGTGAAACTGACTCTGAAACCAACCAGCTGGCATGGAGCTTCACCTCATTCTTCAGCTCCACTTTGGTCTCCTGATTATTTCTTGTCTTACGTTCCTGGTTACTTCCCGAAAGGAAGTTAAAGGAAACTTAGGGCCTGTACAACAACCCAGTTGGTAAACAAAAAGCTTGTAAAGTCTAGAAATTTTTTATTCTGGAGAGAAATGGAAGGTGATTTAAGCATATTTCTTTCCCGTTAGCCTGTTTATAGGGATGTGGGCTGTATTCTTTTATATCCTATAGGAACCCACCAGGTTTTATATGCTAGGCATGTAATTTCATATAATAATACAAAGCAATCGCAGTAAGGACTCATCTCTCTTCTTTTTTAAGTCTTCTGTCTCTAAATATCTGCAAAAGAAACTCCTATAGCATACTAGTTTTTATCATACTAAAGTATGTAGATAGTAAAGCACAGTAAATATTGCTATTGCTTTTGGCATGTTCAGTGATAGACATGGAAAACTTGCTGATTCACTTTATTTTGTCAATAAAGCAAATCAACATCTGTAACTGCTTTTCACCCTCATGATATATACATCCGCTTTCTAGGCTTACTACTATCCCCATATTCATTTCATTCTACCAATCCACTGTAAATAGCTGTATTAATTTCACCTTGATGCTTTCCTTGTGCTTCAGATCAAAATACAAAAAAAGCTATTTGGGTAAATATAGGATTATCTACAGAAGGGAGGCTGGTAGGCTCACTTTCCATGTAAGCCAAAATGGATAGGCTGTTATAACATGACTGTCAAGGGGAGGTGAATACATTGAAACTTCTTACAAACACTTAAAATTGGACTTTCGGCAATTTTTGAACTTCCCTTACCCATCATAGAAACAAATTCCTTTTTTGTATTTAGATTCCTAGGAAAATAAGGAAATATTTTTAATGCAAGTGCATTTAATTCTTTTAGGAGATTGATTATTTATAGGAGCATATCTAGGCAATGTCTTACCTGGATTGCCAGCACAATATGACAGTGTGCAGAAAAAAAATCAAGAATTTTTCACTGGTTTCTCTCTACACTGAAAGGGAGATTTCACTGGTATCCTAGCAGTATCGCCAGGATGGGTAGAAGTATCCAGGATACCCCACCTTGAAGTGTCTCTTTGAATGGCATGTACTGTTCAAGGTGCTGGGCCTTAAGTACCCTGAATGCTGTTCAAAGTCTGTTCCATCACCCTCCAAACTCTTCATTTTTGAGAATGTGGACAGCACTGATTTGATCTTAGAGGCCTTACAGGTTGAGCTCTGGTGCTCAATCACTGATAAGATCTGTGTTCTCATACAGTGCTTGCTCAGGGCCACCTTTACAAAATTAATTGTGTGAATGAATACTCTGTTTTTATGGCTGTGTAAATCACAAAGTGATTCTTAGGGATGTCTTAGTTGGTTTCACTGGTAAACTTCTTGACACCTGTGTTTGCCAGATCTCAGGTCTCTCCAAATTTGGGAATATAAGCATTCCTTTTCCCAGAAAGGACAAGATCATTTGTGAAATGGTGGTGCCCAACTGTCCTCATTCTTTGGGGAGTCTTGAGACCCTACACAACCCAAACAATTATAATGCCCATGGAAAGATCTTTGCCATATCCATTTTCAGCTGGAGTTGGAAATGCACTTGTTTAACTCTGTGCTGCCTGAATGGATTCTGCTGTTCCCTGCACTGAAAAGGATTTAGAAATTATCTTTTTTTTTTTATTATTCTGTGCTCATTCTCTACAACACGGATATTGCTGTCTTACTTCACTTGAGCGTTCTGCAGCTCTCAGCACACAGCATACTGAGTCAACAGGACTGAAACAACCACTTGTAAATGTGGGTGGGGTGGAAAAGGAACGTCAGGCAGCTCCTGTCAAATGAAAGATAACATTTTAAAAAGAAAGTGGTTCTGATATCTCTCATATACTGCTGCTGCTCATAATTCCCACTCCTATCCCTGAGTCCTCTCTACAGACCTGTACAATGCTCAACACAGCTGGCCACAGGGGAGGGGGAAAGGGTGCTGTGAATGGGTGTGGGGATGCTAATGGGGATAGTCTTGGACTAATGGGTGTGGGAATACTGGTGGGGATAGTCTTGGGCTCTGGGATATCTCTTCATTCCATTCATCTGCAAGGACATAGGGTGGAAAGAGTGTCTTTGCAGAAAGCCTCCACTGCTTGTTGTGCTTCCCATATGCATCTCAGAATGAAAGAGCTGTAAGTCTAGCCTGGCTGCTGTTTCAGTCATGTCATCCCTTCCAAAGGCATCATCTGTATCCTTACAGTGAGGAGAGATCTGCTGAGGTGCTTCTGATCAGCAGTGGTTAATGAGGAAGATTCCTAGTTCAGGACAGAGCCCTACTATCTTGCTATCTTCCCACAGCTAGCAGCAGATAACAGTTATCTCTCTGCTATCCCATGCCTACAGCTACCAGAAACGTGTGAGGGCCTCTACCAAGGTTTTGATCGTACTATTATAAACCTCAGTCTTTCTGTCCCTCAGTTTTGTTGCCAGACATTTGAGCATATCAATACCTTCTAGAAGGCAAGTTAGAAACCTCTGCTGTAAAATCCTGCTGATCTCAAGAAGGACCTCTGGAGGTCTCAAATCTAGCTGACTGCTTGCAGCAGGATTAACTTCAAAGCTTGATTTGACTTGACAGGATTTAGAATTGTTTCTTCAGATTTGTCCTGTGCTCATTACAGTTATTTAATAGTATTTGATTCAAAGTCCTTCTGAAGTACTTCTCTATTAGTAAGTAATGTGCCAGTATTGAGACCCTACCCTTCTCATTCTTGGAAGACCTGGCAGGTGATTAAAATTTTCACTACAACTTTGATCGTTTTAAATAATGCAGCTAAACATTTGCTTACAGCAGTAATTAGGTATTCATTGACATGAGAGCCAACATTCTGTGTTAATGTTTTAGGCAGGCTCAGCTGTCAACTTGAAGACAGCTTTTAATGTCTGTTTTAAATTCCAGATTTCTTTTTTGTCAGATGACTCCAAGTTAGCTTCCTTAGTTACAGAGCCAATTTTTTACATTAGTCAAATCCACTTACCATAATTTTTAACAACTGTAGCCCAGAGAAAGCAAATACTACTTTGCTCTCTCAATCTGCTGAGGGAGACAGCTGAGGGCAGCTGGAGTGCTGAAATTCCTTCGGATTAGACAGAGAAACAGAGGGAAACATTTTAATTTTTTCTCAACAATTTGCTATGTAAGAGGTGGGTTCTGAATCATAGGGTCTGTTTGGGCTTTAAAGAGCTATGGGGGAGGGAAGTATTAAATAAAATAATGAACTTGCTTCTTTCCACTCTGTTCCTGTCTAGAATTGATCTTCCTTAATTTGTCTGAATCATCCTCTTCCTCCTACATGTAGGAAACTCATAAAATAACACTGCTTTGCACCTTTCAGACTCATGCCTGCTGCAGTCCAGCATGTGCTGTAGTTCTCACTGGGTTGCTAAAGAAATTGCAGTAACTGTAGCAGCAGTATTATTACTCTTAAAATGATAGATTCAACACTCCCCAGGCATCCTTATTTACATGATGCAGTCTTTCCTGCAAAAAGTCACATAAGACCAGTATCTTAGTCTTCATGTTGCCATAGGAACAATCCAAATGTAAAGTATCTCCCTGCAAAATGAAAGCTTGCTTCCTGCAAAACGGACTTAGGAAAGTCACACTCTTGTCAAACTGATGGCACTTGAATTTTCAGTATCTAGAATAATTCAAGGTTAGAGGAGTTTGCACTAACAATCTTTCCATTTGTGACAGGATGCCAGAGAGCAACCTTCTGCTAATATTGGAGAAAACTACAGCTCTTTTCCCCTTCCTTCTAGCCGTGGACTTTCTTCTTCTAACCTTCCAATAATCCTCTGTAGATTGATTGTGCTGGTAAATTTACCAGTCTAAAATTTTTATTGACTTCCCAGTTTCCACTGTCATCTTGATAGAAAAATAATGAAACCAATACTTTAATATTGGTTTATTTGCTTTAAATATTTTTGTTGATCTTTTGATTGTGCTGGGATGACCATGAAAGTGTGCATTAGTATTTATGTGTATGATCGCAGAAGTAAGAATTGATCAAAGCTCTTCATCCTCACAAGCCACTGAAGCATTTTCCATTAGATCGAGTGTTATGTTGAAGACCTTCCTTTTTTTTTCTTTTAGCAGAGATTTCTATTTCTCATAAATATAGTGATGCATGTAGAATTCTGCCAGAATATTTGGCATAGTGAAGTGTATAGCGATCTGGTCCTAACTGGGTTATGGGGCTATTTTCCAACAAGCACTGAAATTTACCACACACACATCTCAACTCTGATAGTATCACAGTTTAGCGGAGCTATTTTCTTCCTTCTCAACATTTTCCTGAGGATACCTCTGATTTCTTTGTTCCTCAGGCTGTAAATGAGGGTATACAATAGTGGAGTAATGTTGGTGTAGACCAGAGACACCACCTTGTCTCGGGCTGGTGAGTAAAAGGACTTAGGACGAATGTAAATGAAAGTGGCACATCCGTAGTGTAGTAAGGTGATGGCCAAGTGTGAAACACAGGTGGAAAAGGCCTTGCCCCTTCCCACAGAGGAGGTGACCTGTACCAAAGCCACAGCAATGCAGACATACGAGGTCAGGATTAGGAGGAAGGGGAGCAGCAGGAGGAGCACGCAGGCAGCCAGCAAGGGCAGCTCGGGGGTGTAGCTCTGTGTACAGGCCAGGTGCAGCACAGCAGGGACATCACAGAAGAAGTGGTTGATACGACGAGACTGACAGAAAGGTAAGCGGAAAACAGCCACTGTCAACCCCAGGGCAACAGCAAAGGCTCCCAGGCAGCACACCACAGCCAGCCTGAGGCAGAACCCTTGGCTCATCACAGCCATGTAGTGAAGGGGCCGGCAGATGGCCACGTAGCGGTCGTAGGACATGGCTACCAGGAGGAAGCATTCAGCCCCTCCGAGTGCCACAAAAAGGTGCATCTGTGCAGCACAGCCTATGAAAGAGATGGTGCTGCCGTCCACCACTATCAGGCTGAGAAGCGCCTTAGGGACAATGGCTAGGGTGTAGCAGAGCTCGATGGCAGAGAGCTGGCAGAGGAAGAAAAGCATGGGGGGACGTGAAGGCTCCATAACCACTGCCATGAAGACCATCATATTTCCTGCCAATGTGACCAAATGAACAACGAGAAAAATAAGGAAGAGGAGGACCCGCAGACAGAGCAGCTCAGAGAAGCCGAGCAGGAGGAACTCCATGGTTGCACCAGTGCTCATATTGTCCCTCTCCATGCAGCCTTCACATGGCATCTACAGGGAGAGAAGCAAAAGGGACACAGTTGAATTTGACCTGATACCTGGCAATCAATTCCATATAGGAAATACTGTTGCAGTATTGTAGAATCAATGTAGTAAAGCTGATTGGGTAGGGAGGAAAGTGATTTCATTTAAAAAAACCAAACTGATCTCACTCAGTCACATTCAGCACGCTCTCGACCCATATTCTCACAACCACCAAGGTTCTTGTACCTGAATGATCTCCCTAGGATTCTTTGCCATAACTTTGATGACAAAGAATTTCAACTGTTGTGTCTTTGTCACTTATTCTGAGTTGTTTTTAGGTTTGTAACCATATGCAGGTTTTGAACATTACCTCCTTAAGGAGGTAACCCTGATTAGTCTCTCTATCCTGTCCCTCCTGATCTGAGTGTCCTAAGAAGCTGCAGACAGATGGGATTGCATCTTGATGACCATCAGCAAGTAGGTCTTGGAGATATTCTGCTGCTGTTACTTCTGGTGCTTGCACTCCCAGGCAGACCCCTTTGTTCTCTGTTCACACCACTAATGCAGCCCTCTACATCTGTGCCAGAGATGTACAAGGGCAACCAGACAGAGAGCTGGAGCTTCTGTGCTAACACCTGACTCCCATTAAGGGGAATGTGAAATGTTTGCTGACTGGCTCTTTCCTCCACTACAGTGGATCTGCCATAAAGTTCAAACAGAAGCAAAGTTTCAGTGATCAGACATGAGGATTGCAAAATTAGAACTGGCATTTTGGCTGCTTACATCTCTGTGCCTGGCTCCACCCTATGGAATCAGAGCTAAAGTAAACAACCAAAGATTTCCATGACAACATATGCTATAACTGTTTTTTTAAAGAAAATGCAAAACTAATATCTTGGACTTAGAGAGAATGAGATTTTGCTTTTCACAGGAAGAACAGAAATTTTCTAAGAATATGGAGTGATGCAAAGCTATTTAAGTTGAAAAACCTAGGAAAGATAAGGATGTAGAGATCCACATAATAATAAATTGCAAATACTGGTTACAGTTGAACACTGTTCACTGCTCATGTGTTCATCATGGAATACCACACATTTACTATAAGGAATAATTCCCACTCTTTCTACACTTTGTTGTAAAACAAGAATAAAAGCAGTGATTCCTTGAAGATTTCTGCTTATATTAAAAAACAGCAATATTTTAGTGTGAAAGAAACTGGAAAATTACATCAAATATCATCAAAGACAAATAGAAGGAATGGGAAGTTGATGGAAAAGTTATTAGTGGAGACAGAGGTTTTCCTGGAAAAAGCCATCTCAGAAAAACTCCAGAAAGAAATAATCAATAAAATTTAGGAGGTGAATATACTAAACCTACAGACTTTTGTTTTGACTTTTACCCTAAGGTTTCCTTGTGATTCAGTATCTCAGCAGGATTCAAAACATCTAGGGACTTGGATGAATAATGAAAACATCCACAATTATATTACCTCAGGTGCAAAACTAGGAATTAAATTTCTCTGCTTCAGAGCATGAATCAGAAAAATTGACAGGTTAGGAAGAAACTACGATTAACTCCAAGACAAAAAAAAATGGACACTCAGTGAAGACCAAGAAGGAGCTCTTTAGAGAACATAGAGGGAACAGCAATCCTGCAAAAGCAGGTAACTCAGCAAAGATTACTGCTAGAAATAGTTTGCAGTGGTTGTAAAGCCACAGCTAACTCCTACATCCACCTTTTGCTGCTGCAAGACCTCCCCAACAGCTATTCTAAACAATCTGACCATAAAGCTTTCCTGGCACTCTATGTAAGTAGTAGGTCTTCACAGAAAACAGGAGTAACAGGTTGATCCATGACTGTGGATTCAATCACTGGGGCTCCCTTCACTCCGAGTACTGAAACTTTAAGAGGACTCTAAGAAACACAACAAAGCTAAAATGTGGGGAAGAAAGAGAGGGTTCCCTCCCTTTGGTTTGGAGCTGACCGTTTCAGTGACAACATACCGTTTCTGGGTTAGAAGGTAAGGAAATAAAGACTTCTTCCCCTTGATGATGTGCGCTGTTCAGTCTGGGCTCAGATTCTGTTTCTTGCCCAGTCTGGGGTCCCTCTGGCTGTGAGTGTCCCTAGGGCCAATGCTTTCTTTCAGCATCTCATATTAATTCTCTCTGCAGGACCCAGCTCCTTATATACCATATGACACAGAAGTCTGTCCTCTTCCCTGATGCCTCTGCTCTCGCTGCACAAATGATAGGAAGTTCCACTCCTCCCAAGAAAAGGGTGTTTACAGTTTTTTCTGTAAATCAAACAATAGGATATAATTGCACCTTCAGAGGAAGGCAGACGTGTAGCACTAGCACTCTCCTCTCTTGTTCCTTTCACTGAAGCAGTTGAAAGTACCTGATTATTTACTGGGCTAGTTTGTACCTGGAATGGCAACATTTGAATTAACAGAATGCATTACTACTCTTCTTAAATAAAAATAAATCTGTGGATCTTTAAGTAAGTTTAAACTAAACTCACACTTAAAGGCAAAGCAAAGCAGATATAAAAACTTTAAACCCACCTATGTGAGGAGTTTTCACCAGTTCAGATGACCCACTGTTTCTTAGTCTGTCAGATGAAATCACTGTTCAGCAGTTAGTAGGACTGAGATTATTTAAGCTCAATTCATTTTTATTACCAGTGTTACATTCATTCCTGGCCACTTACACTGAAATCCTTAAAGAGATCTGTAGGTTTATGTAAGTAGAAAAGAGAGGCAAACTCAAGATTTTTGACTGCTATGATGGATCTGCTTTCTGTTAACTCAGCTTGGCAGAAACATGGGAATATGATATCTTAAGATTTTTCACAAGTTTAGAAGAAGTCCTTTCAAAATATTCTTCTATAATACTTTATCTATAAGGTATAGTCATTTTGGGACAAAATTGCTTCATGCATCAATCCAGTTTGGGGACCAATTGTGTTGGGAGCAGCTGTGCAGAAAAGAACCTGGGCTTCCAGGGGACAGCAAGATGATCAGGAGCCAGGAAGAGGCAACAAAGACCAGCCACATACTGGGCTGCAATAGCATGAGTGTGTCCAGCAGGGGAAGGAAAGTGATTATTCCCCCTTACCTGTCACAAATGTAGCCACTTCTGGAACACTGGGCCCACTGTTGTAGTCACACATATGAGAGATGACAACAAGCTCAAGAGGAGCACATGATGTCCAAGGGGAGGCTGAGGGAGTTAGGTTTGTTCAGCCTGGCAAAGACAAGGTCAAAGGGGGATGATTTTAGCTACATAGTGGGAGGCTACAGAGACATCAGAGCCAGAGTCGTCTTGGAGAGGCACAGCAAAAACAGTTACAATGTTTGAATCAAAGAAAATTCTGATTAACCATAAAGAAAAAACTGCTTCTCCCCACAGTGGTGGTTCAGCACTGGACCAGGTGTCCTGAGAGGCTGGGAGATCTTCCTCCTTGGAGATGTTCACAAGTTGTCTGGACAAGACTATGAACATCCTGACCTAGCTCTGAAGCTAGCTGGTCCCCTCCTGTCTGAGTATTTCTTTGAGTCTATGATTCTGTACAGCCTTGGTCAGACATCCAGTATAGATAGGAGCAGAACTGTCATGAACTGAAATACTCATGGAGTTTTGGCATCTCCAAGGCTGCTACCTGGGAGTCTGTAATGTCACAATTCTGAAATTAGATAGAACATAAATGACAAAGTTGTTTTTAGGTGTTTGTACTTGTTTTTAAACCTCTCACGTAATTTCTTGGAATTAAAGCTATGACAGTCGAGTCTATCCTCTTTAGTCTCTCAATTAATTTCCTAAAGTTTCAATGCTTTTTATTTCAATTTTTTTGCCTTTTCTTTTTGTTTAAGATTCTGAAAACAATTCAGGGCACAGAATGTCCTTAGAGCATTTACAAAGCCAAATTCAGAATCTATCTGGAATTTCTAGATACTGTTGTATAATACTGAACAAAACAAAAACCCTGAAGCCTCTCTCTGGCATGTTGTCTGTACATGTAATAGGAGTAAAATTGAGGAGCTGGCTATTTTCTAACTATGCCTAGCAAATTGGGGAGATTATAAATGGAAGCAAATCTTTACAATGAAATCTGTTTCAGTCAAATGCTTTGCAGAGTAAGATTGCTCCCCCTAGTAAACTCTGTGAGAATTTCAGAACATCAGCTGATTAACTCACTCATAGTTTGTGTTGTAAAATAACATTCAGGGGCTTAGGTCCATTTCCTACTTTATATTTATCCTAACCCAAACTAACCTAAACTAACCCAAACCCTATTTCTCTAACCCAGACTGCAGGAGAAAATCTGCTGCCTCAGTAACAATGCAAAAATAATTACAAGGAACTATTTTGACAAGTCTGTTCCAACTTTCTCATCTTCAGATCGTCCTTTTCTCCCACTGGACTGGAGGTGAACTGAGGTGAGTCAGCAGGTACCTAGGAACCAATACCACACAGTCAGCAGTTATATGCACTAATTTTTTTTTTTTTTTTACCATAGTGCCCAGCCTTACACTGAAATAAGTAAGGCAAATTACTGTTTCAGTTTGCGAGTGTGTAGATAAGCTGTCGTTTATTAACATGCAACTTACACCTCCCTGCAACATTTCAACACACTCCCACACGTTACCTCCAAAACACGGCTCACCAAACAGGGGAGCATTAGCTGGAGCGAGGTATGCATCTCAGTGCCAGAACACACAGCAACAAGACAAACAACAAGCAGGAGAGGATGAGAATATGCATGTCAAAGCGACTCCATACTTCCTCCTCTAGCCCACACCTTTCAGGTTCCCAGCATTTTCATTGCATCAGCTTACAGCCAAATTCATAATAGATTATTAAAAGCTGCACGTTGGCATTAGTGTTTGCATGTCTTGAGTCTGCAGCATGTTATAGAGATGTACATTCTTCCTTGCTGCAGAGTTCAGCCCTGCTCTCCTCCCCCGCACTCTAACTGTGTGATTTTTTTCAGTACATGCCTGCAAGGCTTTGGGACTGGCCTGCCTT